GCACCATCCCGCATAGGTCTCCGTTGACAGTAATAATCATGGTAATATTCTCTTCAATCTCCTCAATTGGTCTAAGTATTATTAACAATGGCTCTCCGACTCTTCCGAATCGTCCTCCTAATGAAGACACAGCTGTTGATATATCGATCTCGTCTCCTTCTCTATCCTTGTCTTTATCTTGGACTGTCCTAGACTGTACTTACAGTAGCAACCATTTTCCTATTATTATCTCCTATACAACAAGCCTATCTAATCATACAGTTGATCCTTCTCCCGTCTTTTCCCCACGTAAATTCAACTTCTTGAAAGCTGACTGGGGCTTATATTCTGCCTACATCGCGGCTTTTTTTTTTTTTTTTTTTTTTTTTTTTAACCCACTTTTTTATTTTTGTTTTTTTTTCCCAAACGCACTCTAATTCTCCTTGATAGCAACCAAAGGTAAGAAAGTTTATAGGCAATACTAATTGTTGGTGTTGTGATTCATACATTTGTAACTTGTAAACGTTCTTTCTTGAGCATTATAAATATGCATGAAATTTGATATCTCTGTGATGNGCCCGTTAAAGCGAAGGGGGCACAAATAACTCACGAAACAAAAACATAAAACACGAATACCTAAGGCGCCGGCCTAAACCAGCGCCTCAGGTCCTCCTGTGCCGGGCGGCGAGGCTGCCTCTGTCTCAGGCGTTCAGCTTTTTCCTTCTTTTTCAAGACGGACTCGGCGAACGCCTGGACGAGCCTCCACGCCTCCCGGCTCCTCAACATCAGGTCCACCATGGACCCGACTCGGAACGTGGACCCTAGTCGAGACTCCAAAGAGTCCCGTTCCTGGGCCCACGCCTCGCACCGGAAGAGGGTGTGCAAAGCGCTATCAGCCTCTCCCGGGCGATCCGAACAGTGGTCGCACGTCGGCGCGGCTGCTTTACGAATACGGTGTAAGTACTCGTTAAAGCAGCCGAGGCCGGACATCACTTGGGTGAGACGATAAGTCATCTCACCGTGAGTCCGGTCCACCCACCTGTCCAGCCGATGAGGGACCTGGTCCACTCGCCTCTCGTTTCCTCCGAGAGGCGAGTATCGCTGCTTATTTGTCCAACTTTTGTTTTTTTTCTTCTCCGTTATCAGATTATGATTCCTTTGTTTCTATTCTACTGAAATCCGCGAATGCCTCTATTCCTATTCTCAAAACTTCCAAAAAAAATTTTCCTCCTTTCCCTATTTGGTGGAACTCTACATGTACAGTCACTGTTAAAGAACGTTCCGTTTCATTCCGTCAGTACAGATCCTCTGGTTCTATTTCTGAATTTCTTGCTTATCAACGTATACGATTTTCCACCACTCACACTCTAAAATATGCTAAAAGAATTGCTTGGCATTCATTTTGTTATTCCTTTAATCCCTCTACATCTATTCAGGAGCTTTGGTTCACTGCCAATAAACTTAAAAACTGCATTAAATGTCACCCAGTTTCCTTAAATGAATCTTGGTTTCTTTCGTTTTGTGATAAAGTTGCGCCATCTTACGTCCCTTCTCACAAAGAATTAACACCTTCATCTTTTCCTACCCCCAATTCATTCAATCTCTCCATTCAACCTTTAACTATGCCCTTCACTGCCAAAGAGTTATCTTTAGCAATTCATTCTCGTACCTCTTCAGCGCATTCGACTCAGTCCATATTCTCACTCTTTTAAAGCGCTTAAACATTATTGAACTACCCACTTCTCTTTGTAATTTTTTTTCCTCACTTTTTTATCATCGCTTGCTACACTTCTCCACCCCTTCGGAGTTTCTATTTCTCATTCTTCTTTTCGTGGGTTTCCACAAGGGAGCTGTCTTAGTCCCATTCATTTCAATATGTATATGAGCACTATCAGTAATGACCTCTTCTCTCACAGCTTCTCTTCCCTCTTTTACGCTGATTATATTGTTTGTTTTTCTTCGGATAAATCACTTAATCACTCTGTAGCTAATCTCAACGAGTCCTTGTACATACTTTTACAAAACCTTCTCTCTTCTTACTTCACCCTAGCTCTCGAAAAGAGTCAATTTATTATTTTTACCAGAAAACATTTACCTCTCTCTATCACTATAGTCACTTTAGATGGTAATTTAATATCCCCCTCAAATACTGTTACTTAGGACTTAACTTAGATACCTAGTTAAGATAGTTTCCTATTTCCAGTTCCTTTTTGCCTTTGTATAGCGCTGGTTTAATTTTCTCCGTTGTAATACCGGGACATCTTGAGTATCCCACCCCTTTTATTAATTTTTATTTCTATTATTCGCTCTAAAATTGACTACGGTTCCTTTCTTTTCTCTTCTGTATCCCTTCGTCAGCGTAATAAGCTTAATTCAGTAATGGCTTATTGCTTACGCTCAATTTTAGGCGCCTTTCCTTGTACTCCTGTTCCAAGCCTCGAAATTGAATGCTGTTGTCTTCTTATCGAAATTAGAAGCCGTCATTTAGCAAGCAAATTTCTCCTAAAATCTATTTCCTGTCCCAAACCCTCAATATTTAATCTTTTTAAAACCGTTCGCCAACTCTGACGTTATGTCCCCAAATCTCTTCCTATCCTTGCTTCTATATGTTCTTCACTTTCCTCTCTCACTAATCATATCCAGAAGTCCTATAGACATTTTCTTATTTTTGACTGCCCTTAATCATCACCCCTTCCGTTCAAATTCTAACTAATTTCCTAAGCTTCTCACCTCATAACCTTCAATCCCTTTCTTTGATCATTATTAATAATTTATTCTCTCGCTATATTTCTACAAACTTCCCCTACTCTCGTATAATTTTTACTGATGGGTCTGCCTCATTAGCCAAAACTGGCTATGCTTATTACATACCAAGTCTTAATATCACCTTTTCCACCAATCTGCATCCCCTTTCTTCCTCTTTTACTACCGAATGCATTGCTATTGTCAATACACTTCATTACATTTCTGTTTCTCTTGATACCTCTTTTCTCATTCGCAGGCTTGTCTTCTTACTATTAATTCTAACCCTTTTGATTCTCAAACTTCCCCTATAATATTTTCAATTAGAGCACTCCTCCACAAAATTTTAACCTCTGGTAAAGAAGTTCATTTCCATTGGGTCCCTAGCCATGTCGGGATCCACGATAACGAGTTCGCTGATTTTCTGGCTAAATACGCATCATTATTCATATGTTATCCTTTCTTCTCTCTTATTCTGATACTCTGCATTATTTTAGATCTACTCTGATGGAAGCATGGCTCACTAAGTGGTCCTCTCTCTCCAACAGATTTGCCCGATGGCATCGGTCTATCGTACCTAGCCCTTCCAAAAATCCGTGGTTCCATCAATTAGATCTTACTCGCGATATAATTTCAAGCTTTCCACGACTCGGACTGGATCATAACCTTTTACAAGCATTCGCTTACAAATTTAACTTGAACTCTGTTTCCTTTTGCCATTTACATGAGGGATGAAGTCCTTGGTGATTTTTCTCACTATTTATTAAATTGCTCCTTTATGGCGCCTAATAGGTGCCTGCTTATACAATTCTTAGAATCCAATGGAATTTTAAATTTTGTTCCCTCTGTTGTACTAAATTCCCATTCTATTTTCGTAATTACTGCGATCATTTCTTTTATATTGAGTGCTGGTTGTACTATTTAACTACTTAATTATATATTATAATAAAATGTTTTATAACATTTTAAAAATTATAAAAATGTGTAATACCGTACATTAATACATGAAATTTTAAATTTTAACAAATTTTAAAATACTACAGAAAATGCACTACTGAATATAATTAGAAATATTTTTACCAAAATTTTTCTTAAAATCTACTCTATAAAATAGCTATCTTAAATTTTTTTTTACATTTTATTTAAAATTTTAAAATAATTTTAATATAATGTAAAAAAATGAATTATTAAGATATACTTATAAACTTATACGTTAAGTTTATAAGTAACTTAACGTATAATTATTATTTAAAAAAATACCAATTTTGAAATACTCAAATTTCAATTAAAAAATCATGAGAGATTTTTGTACCACTATAATTATTAACATTTGTTTTACAAAATATTCATTTAAATTTTTTTAAAAACATTATATTTAAATGTTTTAAATGTTTATTTATTTTTTACAAATTAAAAAGATATTATGTTAAAACTTTAGACTTAAGGTCTAAGAATTATTCAAAAAAATTAATAAATAAGATATAAAGATTACTCAAACAAAATTTATTAATTTATCTTATCTTCGTGACTCATCCTTTGTACAATTTTTAATACAATTTGTTTTTTTTTAGAACCACCAATTTATCTGATTGGCACTATAGTTGGTATGGTGATTGTTTGGTTACTTGCATATTTTGGATCCGTTAATGTTAGTTATTAATTTTCCTTGAAGTTAATAAGAAATATTTATAATGTACTAATTACTATTAATAATATAATTAAAAATGAAAAAAAAACCTAGATTAAAATTAGAATAATAAAAATGTTTAAAGGATAAATTTGTAAAAAAAAAAAATGTACTTAAATAGAAAAAAAATATTTTTACTTTTAAATTAAAAGTAAAATTATTTATATGTTTATCATAAGCAACTTATTACATACAAAATACAAATAATTACAGACATAACTTTTTATTGGATATTTTTAATAAATATTTTAGCATAGGTAAAGTGGTGGCAACCAATTAGGAAAAGCATGGCTAGGTTATCTATCTTAACACAGATCTCGTCCGGTACAGTATCGGGCATTTAACATTTTAACAAAGTATTAATCTTTGAATTTCTCTTCTTTCCTGAAATGACAGCAACAAGCGACACTAGTAATTAATAATTAAAAAGTAAAAGTAAATGTAACTAAAAAGAAACAATATATATTTTTTAAGTATTTAAGTTATGATAAACATATACCTAAACAATATATACTTATATAATGTACATTTAAATAATTAATCAGTTAATGTACTACATTATTTTAGTCTTCAAAATCAATGATCTGGTATTCTTTTCTTTTGTGGACGATAGTCATAATTTTTTGGTCCACATTAGTGGTACTTACATTACAATTACATAAAAAGTAAATATAATTATTTATATATTTAAATATATTAAAATTTCAAGAAAATTCAAATTAGACATTTAATCTAAGGCATAAAAATTATTATAAGTTTGAAAAATTTATTGCCAATATAGACTCAACTTTATATCATTACATCAATTTTTAACTTGTCTGTTAGGTAATAAGTAATAAACATCAGTGGTATGTTAGTGACCTCAGTAAAATAACTGTGATTAAATCATATAATTTAGGGTATTAATATATAAAATTGCTATTTTAATGTATTTAAATTTAAAATTTCTTAAAAATATTGTTTGCTGTATGACAAAAATTAGTTTTATTAAATTTGGTAAGTATTGTAGAACACAACATTAGATACAAAAGATTTCAAATTAATCCCAAAATATTTTTCTTTCTTTCTTTTTCCGTACCTTAATGACAACTACTTAGAGTCGGCAATCCTTAAATTAAATTTCAAATAGACACGAACTCCCATATTGCTTGCTCATCTTAACCAAACCTTAATAACATCCTTCTATCTTTTTTAGCTTCGATGTGAAGCTGAGAAGGTATTAATTCTACTATGACATATTTTTTTTTTTTGTGTCTGTATACGCTGAATCTCAGCTCTCACTGAACCGATTTTGATGAAAAATATGTCAAAAGATCACAAATAGTATCTAATCGAAGACATTACCCTTAAAAATTGAAAAATTTTCCCTCGTTCCCCGCAAATGGGGGAAATCCCCCAAAAAATTACAAATTTAAAAATCGGTAAATTTTGTCATATTTTTCACTTTTTTTTCTTAAAACTTCCATAACTCTTTCAAAAATAAACAAATCAACATAATTTTTTTTTATACTAAAACCTTAGATATTTCCCTTTCATTTGATATCATTTTTTTGAAAATCTAACACTTAACCTGATCATTGGGAGGGATTTAAAATAGCAACTTTTTCAACTTAATTTTTGAAAATGTTCTGGAAATACTGCGTCTTTTAAACATATATCAAATTAAAGATTATTTTATGTACTATAAAATGAAAAAAAAAAATTTGTCCCGACACTAACTTCTGCATGGAAAGGGCTGCCGTAGTTAAAAAAACGCTAATTTAGTGTTAAAATTTTCAACTTAAAAGTGCTATAACTTTTCGAAAAATGTAATTACCAGCACAAATTTTTTTTTCTAAATACATTATAAGTACATCTTTCATTTGACATACTTTTTATTAAAATTGGACAATTTCCTCATATATAGGGGCGTTTAAAAATTTCCAAATATAATTTTAGTTCATTTTTAGTTGTTTAAATGTAAAAATTAAAATAAAAAGTTTAGCTTGTCTATCAGATGGATCAAGATGTCCCCCAACAATGTGGTTGTGTAGTAATGTAGGTACAAACAAATCAAAAGGAAATGGTGGTGATTCAAAAATTACTAGTAAGGAAGAAAGTGGATCTACAGAGAGTAGCACACCTGATAAACATAATGGAACTGATAGTATATCAGAAAAGAAACCCAATACTGGATCCCAAGGAGGAGCTCCTGAAAGTTCTGAAGCTGACAGTAAAACAGAAAAAAATTCTGTTACTGAACCCCAAGTAGGAGCTCCTGAAAGTTCTGAAGCTGACAGTAAAACAGAAAAAAATCCTGATACTGGTTCCCAAGGAGATGCATCTGAGAAGTCTGGAGAAGAAGATGGTGAACTAGAAAAAAAATCTGATACTGGACACCAGGGAGGACCTCTTAATGTTTCTGGAAAAGATGATGGTGGATTAAAAAATACAACTGAAACAGACCACAATAAAAATAGCCTTATTGTCGACTCAAAAAATGGTTTTGAAGAAAATGTTGTAAGTATAATACAATATTCTTTGGCAAAAAATTAAAATCAAAATTCTGAGAAGGTTACTAATTTACATTTTTCACCTTTTAATAATATGTCATATGGAAAAAAACAATATACATGATAATTAAATATAACTTGACTTTTAGAATCTATATAAATGCTTAGAAAAAAGTAAAACACTATATGACTTTGAAATTTTTAAAAGTTAAATATGTTTAGATCAACAAAACGCCTTTTTTGAGATAGGGCCCTCTTATTTACACATTGCAATATGACTTGGTATGTTAACATTTACATTTATTTTTGCAAATATAGTCAGAAAGTAAAAATTTTAATAAAGAAACATCAAATGAACATGATATAAATGAGGTAGTCATAAATAATTTTCAATCAGTAAAATATTTCTCTACAACAGGCTCTACGAGTGAGAAAACCACAAATTTCAATAAAAAATCAACTTCAAAAAAATCAAATCCATTAAATAAATCTTCTAGTAAAAATAGTGACGTCGTTAGATCATTAGGTTTTGTTACACTTTTTACTAGTATGTTTTTATTTAATTTTTTATTAAAATAAGAAGAGCTTGAAATTTGAAAAAAAAAATTTCATATATTACGTTGGCACAAGACAATGTCATATTAAATTTTTAATTTAGTATATTAAATATAAGAACATAAAGAGAAATTTGTTTAACTTTTGAATATGCAATAAGTTAAATTGTACATCTTGTAAGATGAACGAACTTAAATTGCTCATTTTATTAATTTAGTGGTGCATTTTAAGATTACCGGATTAAGATGTTTCTCCGCGTTCCGCTACCACCGCACGTGCGTGTCGTCTGCTACGCGGACGACATGCTGGTGGTGGCGGAAGGCGTCTCGGCCGAGGAGGCTGGATCCCGGGCAAACTGCGCGCTCAGCGCAGTCTCCGCCTGGATCCAGCAGGAGGGGAGTGGACTTAGCCTTGCCCTGGACAAGACCGAAGCGGTCTTGTTCACGGGCAGGTACAAGTTCACTCCTCCACGACTCGCCGTGCTGGGGGTGGAGATCCCGCTTAAGGACTCCATGACTTATCTGGGCCTTGTCATAGACAAACGTCTGAAGTTCAGGCCGCACATTACTCGTGCGGCACAGCGGGCCCAGAAAGTCATGAATTGCCTGGCGGGAATCATGCCCAATCTGGGAGGGCCGAGAGAGATGCGGCGCAGACTTTTAGTCAGCGTCGTACACTCGGTCCTCCTGTACGGGTCCCCGGTTTGGGCGGATACTCTTGAGTATTCGTCCAAAAACCGTGAAGCCCTGCTCAGGGTGCAGAGGCGGGCGGCGATCCGGACTGTTTCGGCGTACCGAACGGTGTCCGGAGTGGCGGCGGGTATCCTGTCGTCACTGCCGCCCGCCGACCTGCTCGCCGAGGAACGCGCCGCCGGGCATGAGCTCCGCCGAGAGCGAAACCGGTCCCTCGAACCCGAGGACCGGCTAGCGCTCAGGCGGATGACCATGTTCCGGTGGCGGACTCGCCTCTCGGAGGAAACGAGAGGCGAGTGGACCAGGTCCCTCATAGGACCCGATCGGCTGGACAGGTGGGTGGACCGGACTCACGGTGAGATGACTTATCGTCTCACCCAAGTGATGTCCGGCCACGGCTGCTTTAACGAGTACTTACACCGTATTCGTAAAGCAGCCGCGCCGACGTGCGACCACTGTTCGGATCGCCCGGGAGAGGCTGATAGCGCTTTGCACACCCTCTTCCGGTGCGAGGCGTGGGCCCAGGAGCGGGACTCTTTGGAGTCCCGTCTGGGGTCCACGCTCCGAGTCGGGTCCATGGTGGACCTGATGTTGAGGAGCCGGGAGGCGTGGAGGCTCGTCCAGGCGTTCGCCGAGTCCGTCTTGAAAAAGAAGGAAAAAGCTGAACGCCTGAGACAGAGGCAGCCGCGCCGCCCGGTACAGGAGGACCTAAGGCGCTGGTTTAGGCCGGCGCCTTAGGTATTCGTGTTTTATGTTTTTATGTTTTTGTTTCGTGAGTTATTTGTGCCCCCTTCGCTTTTAACGGGGTGGTGTGAATTTTAGAGACGGCGTGGGCTGCCCTGAAGTAATACCTAACGGTAGTTCCAGGGCGGCCTACAACTAAGCCGGTCGCGGAAATAACCTGTTGTTGCTCATTAATAAACAGCCCACGGGTCTCTATCCTCAAAACCAGTGTCGACCACATTTTTATGACGTAAGTAGTGTCAACTGTTTCCCCAGTATGGTTTTTAACCGGTCTTACATTGGATCAAGGTAAGAAGACCATTTGCTAACTTGATTTTAATACGCTTATATTAGTTTCTTTTAATTTTATTTTTCAAATAAACCAGCTAGGTTTCCATCATATTCCCTCTTCTCCGAGTTACTTCAATCACACAGTCCGACAGCAGTGAATTCTCCACCCGGTTATAATAAATTGTCAATAGCGCAACAATTGTAGATTTCCACTTCGTTCATTATTTTTTTTTAATATAAAACAAGTAGATTCACCAGTTGTTTCTCTATACAATCTTTATTGCGCGTGAGGCGTCGCCGCTGATACACATAAAATTGCAACAATAGACAGTAATAGACATGTAGTATACAATACATTCTATATCAACGCGTTCGATATATCATTTAACAACCGGGTCCCATAAAACCGTTTGTATTATTACATACGTTGTAACGGGTAACGGGTAACAGGGAATCAGGGTTCGATTCCGGTCAGGGAGTCTGAGAAACGACTACCACTCCATGGAAAGCTGTAGTCACGCAAATTACCCACTCCCGGCATGTGGAGGTAGTGACGAAAAATGATGATACGGGACAAATCCTAGGCCCATAAAATACGGCTTTACCTCGTGTGTGATACATTTCCGTTCTTAAGTTTCATTATTATATATATATGCCACACGTGTAGAATTTCCCTAGCGCACCGCCAACCCATAAAAAACAGTTATACCTCAATACACAACACAGTCTGATCGGTATTAAGTGCTTTTAGCCGGTTCGGGTACGCACTATAATATTTAGTGCCTCTGTGCTTAACAATATTTTAACCAAAAACATACATACCGAGCTATTTATGTGAAAAAAGTATAGTTAAAAAAAAATAAAAAAAACATGCTTTCATAACATATGAAACTAAAAAGTAAAAAATAAATATAGTTTAAAAAAACTAAAAAAACACGCTTTTAAAGCACATCGACTAAAAAGTTAAAAATAATTTTTAAAATAAGCTTAAAACAATAATAAACGAAAAATACTAGTATTATTGTCAAAAAAGCGTGGGCGCTTTGTGCCATATTTTTCGTATATTCAGTTTTATGACGCGGTGCAAAGTCCAGCAAGTGCCGCACGGCCGACTACGTCCCGCCGTTAATGATACCGTAGTCTTCTTCTCGTTGTCTAAGTGACAACGTCAACAAACCGATCCGCACTCGCGCTCTGTTGTCATCTACGCTGCTAACCTTTTGACGCCCGAGGATCACGCCGGATATCGCTTCGTCGACGCCAGCGACAGTGCCGCGATATTATGCGAAGATTATATATTCTTACCATCGTCGCTAATATTAATATTTATTTATTTATTTATTTATTTATTTACAAATATATACGGACTGTGTCCTATTACATTGCGTGAATTTGTATACATAATATTGTTTACATTGTTTGTTGTCAAATATAGATTAACTTAACTTCTATTATCTAACTTAAACAAATACATAATGAAATAATTACAAATTAAAGATAAATTATTGACAATAAAGATTAAACAAAATCGAATATATAAGTATTACCTGCGTTCATTAAAATATTATGGGGAGAATTTAAAATATAATTTTTATTTGAGAAAATTGGGTAAAATGGCAAAGGGTTTCTAGTATTAAGGTTGTTTATCTTAAAATTAATCAAAGACAACAGCTCTGGACAATCAATATCACCAGTTAATAATTTATGTAAAAATTTTGATAATANCTCAGACTCCCTCTCCGGAATCGAATCCTGATTTCCCGTTACTAAAAACTAAAAAACACGCTTTTCAAGCACATCGAACAAAATAGTTAAAAATAATTTTTAAAATTAACTTAAAACAATAATGAACGAAAAATACTAGTATTATTGTGACAAAAAACGTGGGTGCTTTATGCCATACTTTTTGTATATTGAGCGCCTGACGTTTTTTTTCACAATAATACTAGTATTTTTCGTTCATTATTGTTTTAAGTTAATTTTAAAAATTATTTTTAACTTTTTAGTTCGATGTGCTTTAAAAGCGTGTTTTTTAGTTTTTTTAAACTATATTTATTTTTTACTTTTTAGTTTCATATGTTATGAAAGCATGTNATATCATTAAAATTTTTCGACTTCACTCCTTACCCATAGGTATTCAAATGTTAATAACCTCTGAAATACTGTTCCAAAATTTGTTATCAATCTAAATAAATAAAGTTGACACTCCTATAAGATATAACGTATGAAAATAAAAAATATTTTATAACAGATAAATGGAAATACATGTAACTATCGTAAAAATTGCCAAAAAAAAATGAATAATTTAAGAGAAATTGATTTGTGTTAAAATGAACATAATTTTTTTTAATACTAAAACCTTAGATATTTCCCTTTCATTTGATATCATTTTTATGAAAATCTAACACTTAACCTGGTCATTGGGGGGGATTTAAAATAGCAACTTTTTTACAAAAACTAACTTTTTCAACTTAATTTTTGAAAATGTTCCGGAAATACTGCGTCCTTTAAACATATGTCAAATTAAAGCTTATGTCATGTACTATAAAATGAAAAAAAAAAATTTGTCCCGACACTTTATCTTCTGCATGTAAACGGCTGCCGTAGTTAAAAAAATATAGTTTAAAAAAAACTAAAAAAACACTCTTTTAAAGCACATCGAACTAAAAAGTTTAAAATAATTTTTAAAATAAGCTTAAAATAATTATTTTTAACTTTTTAGTTCGATGTGCTTTAAAAGCGTGTTTTTTTAGTTTTTTTTTAAACTATATTTATTTTTCAC